GAATTGATATTGCAGAAGGAAGGACCAAAGCTGCACGCAAAAAAGGAAATGGAAGAAAGAACAATAACTATAGAAATCCCTGAAGTTCTGAAGAAAAAGCTTGAGGATGATTGTTACTATATCAACAGGAGGAAACGGGTAAACAAGGAGAATACATAAAACATGGGTTTGTAATAGAGCCATATTCTGCAGTCACAGGAAGTTGAGAACCTTGGAGGAATGAAACTCAGGTTCTGTACTGAGCTGGGTTTTACAGTTCTCTGGCAGTAGTGTTCTCCTGATGGAAGTGTACACAGTCTTTTCCAGCCCTGGCTGCCTGTTAGAACCTTCTAGAGAGTTTAGCAGAGTCCTGATGCCTGGGCTTCAAGCTTAAGGTGAAAACTGATCTGTGACGTTGGAGGTGGCAGCTGTGGATATCTTAGAGGTTCCCCAAATGTTTCTAATGGGTCCCTAAGCTGAGAATCATTGCTTGCATTTATTTTTAAAATTAGTTATTAATTAGCTTTAAATTACTATTGTAATCTACATGAGGATATGATCAGTAGAAGAAAAGTCAGAGAGTTTCAAAGCACATTTACCTAAAGAATTATCTTCATACACAATTGACTTTATTTTGAGCTTCAAAAATGACATACACAAGACCACTGTTTCTTGGAATATATGGTTTATCCAATGGAACGTATACATCAAATATTTATGTTTTTGTTAACAGTTAGTGAAACTTCCATGCCAGAACAACATCATAACTATTTTGGAATCGTATGTGAAGCATTTTGCTATCAATGCAGCCTTTTCAGCCAGTGAGAGACCTCGTCACCATCATGCTATGCCACATGCCAACATGAATGTGCATTGTATCCCAGCAGAAAAGAAGTAAGTAGGGGAGGGAGGGTTGGCATTTCATGGTTTACTCTGGCTATTAGAGAAGAAACTTCCATTTAGAAGAGGTAACACTACTGTCCTTTTTTTTGGAATGTTCAGTAACTCTTTAGGATTGTGATATATGAATCCATTGAGGACATGCACTGCCTCAACACTAGAAGAAGTTTTCAATGATGTAATTTAGGGAGTGAACTCTGTTTTATTTTTTTTTGCTTTGAGAAGTACCAGAATGGGGAATGAGAATTTTGTTGAAACTTGTTTACAAACAGGTCTTTACCCTAATCTGAGTAATTGTCCCCATAGCTTGCCTTGGGAACGTGACTCAGCAGGAGTGGAGTCAGACAAGTAGATTGTTCCCAGTTTAAACAGGTGTGTTAGTTCATCCTGACCGCCCCCTTCAGCTGCGGGTGACTGGGGTGTGTCTACTTTCCGTAGCACAGACTACTTGGACTCCTTTTGTGGAACTGAGCATATTCACTTGTGTTCAGTGTGTAAGTTAAAATCACTTGCTTACTGTACTCTATACTCTAGGTCTGTGCTTCCATTTAATTCTTCATTGTTAGCACCTACAGACTTTGTGTTGCACACTTAGGTGTAATATATAGTGTTTAAAACTCTTCCTGATTAGAAATGTGCACCTTCATTGTGACATTTTGAAAAGTTCTGTTATTTTATTGCATCTCTAATCTCTTTAATCCTTCCAGCGTTGACCTTTGTAAGGAGATGGTGGATGGATTAAGAATAACCTTTGATTACACTCTTCCATTGGTTTTGCTCTATCCATATGAACAAGTTCAGTATAAAAAGGTGACTTCATCCAAGTTTTTTCTTCCGATTAAGGAAAGTACCACAAACACTAATAGGTAAGTTAGCTTGCAGTTCAACCATCAGCTATCAGAAATCAAATAGCTAGATCTGTTTTTAAAGATTTCTGTTGGATGCTATGGGGCCAACATGTTTGGAGGAGGGAGTAGATTGCAAACCACTGACGGTCCTGGTGGTTTTCTTTTTTCTTGGGTAAGCATGAGTCATCATTCACTTTCAAATGTCTCTGGAAGTTTTTACCAAGTGAAGATTTCAATATAGAGAAATTGGCTTTAGTGTAGCCAATGCCCTTCTTTCCAAAGACAGTGGGGTGAAGAGAGAATGGCCTGAGAAGGTTGGGTGTGGGTTTGAATTTGTGACTTGGTGAGGTGTCATCTGAGTCACTTGCTTTTCCTCTGAACAATGGAAAGAACATTGCTTCTGTAGGTGGTTATTAAATGAGGAAGTGCATGAAGGGCCGGCTGCCTTAGGCCTTCAAGTAAAGCTTAGTCTCTTCCCTGCTCTGCTGTGTCACCACTGTCTTCCCTCGGTGACCAAGCATTTCCACATCTCCATTCTTGGGGTTCAACAGAAGTCCCCCTGCACCTGAGTCCATGCCTCTATCTGTGTAAGCTACTTCCTTATCTGCCTCAGGCCCATCTTCCCAGGAGAGTGGTCTGTTTTCCTGATTTCCACCCCTGCATCTCCGCTTGCCTGTTTGCCATCTGTCTTGGTCTCCCGCCTCCCTCTGCTCCCCAGAGTCACTGCCAGCTTCCCACTCGCTGCCCCAAGCATTGCCCTCCTTTCCCCTCAGCCCTTGCTCCCCTTCCTCCTCACGTCCCGTCTGGTAACCGTCTGTCTGCCTTATGACTGTCTCTTCTTTGGCTACCTTCTCTCCCTGTTGGTTCCACCCCGTTTGGGTGGCCTGCGTCACTCAGTGGGGACCTATGTTGATGTCCCCACGCCCTCCTCCAGACCCCAAGGTTCCCAGTGTCTAGAGTGGACCGCATGTTTCCACAAAATGTGGCCAAAGTTTGTGGCATTCTCGCCCTATCAGTAGTTACACTGTGACGAGATGATGATGTATTCTTAGTCTCGCCACCATGGTTTCTCAGCCTTGGCTCGACCGATGTTTTTAACTGCATCATCGTTGGTGGCAGAGGCCGAACTATGCACTGTAGGATGGCGGGCAGCATCCCTGGCCTCCACCCAGTGGATGCCATGGCACTTTGCTAGTTGTAACCATCAAAACTGACTCCAAAGGTGCCCGTGTTCCCTCCAGAGTGGAATCACCCTTGAGTTGCGAACTACTGATATAAAACAAGGACAGAGGTATCACAGCCTTTAATGCCAGTGTGCCTTGAAGAGTTAAAGGGTGAAAATGGTATAATAATGTTTAGGAACCTTTTAAGCAAGTATTTGTTTTGGCACGTCTGGAAGTGAAAGTTTCTAAGCCTCCTGGAGTGGAGTGGAGGCTGTGTTTTCTGTCTGAAGAAGGACATTGAGGAACCCCTCCAGGCTTTGCAGAGATTCTGTGGGCCAGGCACATGTGACACATTCCTCTTCCTTCTGTAGGAACCAGGAGGAGCTCTCTCCAAGCCCACCTTTGCTGAATCCATCCACACCACAGTCCACAGAGAGTCAGCCAAACTCAGGCGAACCAACCACCCCCAAAAGGCGCAAAGGCGAGCCGGAAGCCTTGCAGTCTCTGAGGCGGTCCACGCGCCACTCTGCCAACAGCGACAGACTGTCTGAGAGCAGCGCCTCGCCCCAGCCCAAGCGCCGGCAGCAGGACACATCTGCCAGCATGCCCAAGCTGTTCCTGCACCTGGAAAAGAGTAGGTTTACTGCCTGCAGGAAGGGCATGCCGGGGAGAGCTGATGCTGACTCTGTACTTGGTCTGGGTCAGGCACTGTGCTCTTGAACCCAGTCCAGCGGGAGATGGGACCCACCCCCACGCCTTCAGCTGGGTCCCTCACCTAAGGCACAACTGGAATAGAACAAAAGGAGCACCGGGACCTGGGAACTTGAAGCTTGTGCATTTGAGGGCTTTACTTCTCCATAGTCTGAAATTGACAATGAAGTTCTGGCAGCAGGGTGGCTGTTAATACAGCATCTGGTCTGTTGTCCTCTGTGCATTCTGTGTCTGCAGGCACGTTTGATTTGACTGTGAACTGAAACATTGGATGCATTTTCATTTTCCCAAGCCCTCTGAAAATTCAGGCTACTTTAAAGGTTAGTTCAAATTTCTATTGTTAACTCATAGTTCCCCCTGTGCATAAGGTGATCCATATTGACAAGTCATTATCTATGTATCTAGTTGTCATTTATCATCCATCTTACCTGTAAGAGTATTGCACTCCAGTTAGTGCAAAATATGAAAATAAAATTTTCTGCATGTCTGTAAACCAAACTTGAATGGAACGTATTTGGGCAATGTGACAAAGCGTATGCTGGGAGAGACATTTAATGTGCAATATTTTCACCTAACACCCTTCCCTTCTGATGGCCCCTCTTAAGGAGCATTGCTGTAGTAATCAGAAAAAAACAACTACAGTTGGCATCCTGGTTGTCCACTGAAAGCACTCAAAGAAAGTGTTTCATTCTTGAAAGAATGTACACAAAAGTACATACAAGAGAATACTGAAGCAAGTCGTACAATTTTTAGAAACTTTTTAGTATACAGCACAGGTATAGCTAGAATAAAAATTCTAGAGTCCTTGGACTGATATGCCTACAATAAGTATTCTTAGGTGATTAGTTTAATGGTGCTGAATAGTTTTACTATTTTAGGACTGTGAGCATCATTTTAGATTTTCCCAAGTGTACTTTTAAAATCACACACTAGAAGGAGCTGAGGATAACATCTATCCTGGAAGCAGAATCATGTGCATGCATGTATCAAAGCATAGAGCATAGATGATATGCAACCATATCGGGTACCTTAGGTCTCTAATGTCATGCTGAGAGAGAGAAAGTGTGTGCAAGTGCATGTATGTGTGTCTTGTGGTATGGGGAGCTCACTGGATGGGGCTGAGGTGACTCAGCCTTCCCCGAATTTGTGTGATGGGCTGGGAG